CTCAAAATAGATGAAGGACCTGAATGTGAGACAGGAAAGCATCAAAACCCTAGAGGAGAAAGCAGGAAAATACCTCTCTGACCTCAGCCACAGCAATTCCTTACTTGACACATCTCCAAAGGCAAGGAAATTAAAAGCAAATATGAACTATTGGAACCTCATGAAGATAAAAAGCTTCTGCACTGCAAGGGAAACAATCAACAAAACTAAAAGGCAACCGACGGAATGGGAAAAGATATTTGCAAATGACATATCAGACAAAGGGCTAGTATCCAAAATCTATAAAGAATTCACCAAACTCCACACCCAAAAAACAAATAATCCAGTGAAGAAATGGGCAGAAGACATGAAGAGACACTTTTCTGAAGAAGACATCCAGATAGCCAACTGATACATGAAAAGATGCTCAACATCACTCCTCATCAGGGAAATGCAAATCAAAACCACACTCAGATACCACCTCACGCCAGTCAGAGTGGCTAAAAGGAACAAATCAGGAGACTATAGATGCTGGCGAGGATGTGGAGAAACGGGAACCCTCTTGCACTGTTGGTGGGAAGGCAAACTGGTGCAGCCGCTCTGGAAAACAGTGTGGAGGTTTATTTTATAAAATAAAATAAATTTTTAATAAAATGAAAAATAGATCTACCCTATGACCCAGCAATAGCACTGCTAGGAATTTACCCAAGGGATACAGGAGTGCTGAGACACCGGGGCACCTGTACCCCAATAGCAGCACTATCTAATACCCCAATAGCAGCAGTATCTAATAGCAGCACTTTCAATAATAGCCAAATTATGGAAAGAGCCTAAATGTTCATCAACTGATGAATGGATACAGAATTTGTGGTTTACATATACAATGTACTACTCGGCAATGAGAAAGAGTGAAATCTGGCCATTTGTAGCAACGTGGATGGAACTGGAGAGTGTTATGCTAAGTGAAATAAGCCATACAGAGAAAGACAGATAACATGTTTTCACTCTTATGTGGATCCTGAGAAACTTAACAGAAGACCATGGGGGAGGGGAAGGGGAAAAAAAAAGTTAGAGAGGGAGGGAGCCAAACCATAAGAGACTCTTAAAAACTGAGAATAAACTGAGAGTTGATGGAGGTTGGGAGGGAGGGGAACGTGGGTGATGGGCATTGAGGAGGGCACCTGTTGGGATGAGCACTGGGTGCTTCATGGAAACCAATGTGACAATAAATTTCGTATTAAAAATAAATAAATAAAATACATAAATAAATAAAAAGTCTAGAACCAAGCCTCCACAGGACTGGGGAGAACTGCCAGGTACTAAACCATCTGAGAACAAAATTCACGTTCTCCAGAAGATGTTGACAGAACACTGAGCAGATACAGTGTAATATCTAAAACATACAGGGTGCCTGGGTGGCTCAGTTGGTTAAGATGCCAACTTCAGCTAATGTCATGATCTCACAGTTCATGAGCCTGAGCCCCACATCAGGTCTCTGTTGTCAATGTGGAGCCAACTTCAATCTTCTGTCCCCCACTCTTTCTCTGCCCCTCCCCCACTCACATGCATGCACTCTCTCTCTAAAATAAGTAAACATTTAAAAAAGAACTAAAACATCCAGAATATACTAACAACTACATACAGGTGAAGAAGCAGAACCAATAACTGATTATAATCAAGAGAAAAAAAACTGCCAATAGTAGCAGACTGACAGCTGGCCCACGTGTTAAAAAGAAATTTAACACAACTATCAGGAATATGTTTTACATACGTATACAGTAAAGAAATAGAGAGTGAAGAGATAAGAACTGTCAGAACTATAGAGCTATAAAATAAGAACCAAATGGAAACGTGAGATCTGAAAATATAAAGACTCTCTTAGATGGCTTACAGCAGATTTAGACCCAACAAAGCAGAACAGCCTGACCCTAAAAACAGATCCAGAAAATTAGCTAAGTTTATTAATGAAGAGAAAAAGACCTACAAAATACACAGAAACAAATTAATAATCTCAAAGATGTGTAATGGTAGTCTTAGCAAAGAACAGGACAGGAAAATATAGTTAACAAGTTTCCAAATTTGGTGCAGGGGGTGGGGGGGATATCAAGCCAGAGATGCAAGTAACTTGAGTACATCCCAAGAGGATGGGGGAGAAAAAATACATACATACATTGGCATGCCTTAGTCAAACTGTAGAAAACAAAACAAAAAACAAACAAATCACAAAATATTAAATGCAGCCAGAAAGGGAGAAAAAAGTTGTGAGGAAAAAGCTTAGAAATTCCCTGGGCTTGCACCAATGAGTTAACAAGCATAAAGAATTACAAAGCCATAGGATGCTCACACCCAAGTTTGGGTAAACAAGATTAGGTGAATAAGGATAGAGAAGGGAGGCTAAGGCCCCCAGAATAGAGAGGGGGTGCAAAGGCCCGCAATACAAAGGTATATGAGGTAAACAAGACTAGAGATTCAGGGCAAAAGTTCCCCCCTATTTAGTATTATAGCAGAAAGCTGCTTTCACAGGAAGGAAGGACCAAATTAGGTAAACAAGTAAATAGGGCTACAGACCACCGGGCTGCAGGTAAAGCTGCCCAGAGGAGAACTGATTAGCAAAAGAAAAGGTGCCTTGTTAACCTTGAGGTTACTTGCTCCATCAGTCTAATCCCCTAGGTTAGCTAAGATAAACAGAGTTGATGCCTCATGCCTGCTGTAAACAACCTTTGGCCGCCTCCAGAGCCAGGATTTTGTTTTGTATTAACCCAAACCCCTAATATCTTCAAGACCCCCTTTCCCTCACATCCATGAGTTAATGTTCATAATTTCATTGTCTCTTTGTGCACATCCATCACCATGTTTGTAAGCCTTCTGATCCTAATAAAAACAGGGCAAGGACCCTTATTCAGGGCTCTTGTCTTTTCCTGGACATTAACCATCTCTCGAATTTAATCCTGAGTCCTGCTTTCTTGCTAGACAAGAAAGAACTTTAGACCCAGAGTCTATGACAAAAAGGCACTTCAAACAGAATAACAATGATGGTTGAATTTTCATCTAAATCAATGGAGATAAAACAATGAAAGATCTCTCTTTGGTAGTCCTTCCCAATTCTTAAAGGATAACTCTACGTTTCCTTGTCTCCTTACACATCTTTCCTCTTAACACTGGGTACCTCCCAGTGTGATTCCAGGTTGCATTCTGCCCAATTTGCTCTTCAACTGCTTTCAATGCCCTCTTTTTATCTTTAGAAGTGACTAGAAACCCTGCTGTTCTATGGCCACTTCAACCTGACCCTCATCTTAGCGGTTTTTAGACCTAGCAAGTAGTTGGCATTCAGGCCAGTTCAAAGAAGGCACTGTACTGCTCCCTATTCTCATGCTCAATACTTCTTGCCTTCTCCCTTTGCACCCCACCTTCTTCCTACCTCAGTTCTTACTTTCTTGCTACCTACTTCTTCCTACCTCACTCTTGGACTACTGTCAGCCCTCCCATCAACCTGATACAGCTGTTTCCTCACTTCGGATCCAACTCCCTGCAGTCCTGGTCTCAAAGAATTTCTATTAGGGTATATTCTGCCTGGCAACTTGAGTACTCTAGGTTTGGTTTTTGTCTTTGATATTTTATCCAAAGTTTTTTACATATTACATAGAAAGAAGGATTTTTAGAAACATCTAGTCCCTCATGTTGCAGGCCATGAAAGTCCCCATCACTTTTAGACCTGATCACATGTTGTCTTTTCTATGGGAACATGCCCACAGCCTGATCCCTAAGCTACACTGTGCAGCACAGGTGCTCTGCGACAGGGCAAGGACCAAGAGCCTGGCAGCAACAGTGCATGCCCAAAAAAGCCTTTGCAGTGAGTGGAACAAACATGCCAGTGCAATATTCCAAGGTCTAATGGGCTCCTTCAATAACAATTATTTCCTAGAAAAAGATCATGCCATGAATATTTGAGCATCTGACCCATGTTGAATCTCATTAACTTTTTCAAAGAATTCACATATATTCAAAATAAGGTTAAACTTCAACTCATCCCCCCTCTAACTAGTATTATAATGCTCTATGACAAACATGGTTAAAGCCTAACTAGTCATAAGAATTATTTTAGCATATTATTTAAAATTCAGAATATATCCTTAAGAAAATACACATCTAGGAAAAAAATTGTTCCAAATTTAGTGTACCAGATTAAAATTGCAGAGGCTGCTACCATACCTCTAGCTCCTGTTTGTCAAATATGGCCTTCACTGGAGATGGCTGGGTGGCCGAGGCCAGTAACTGCTGCAAGAGGATCATTGGAGGCTGTGGCCCTTCAGGAGACATGTCCCCAAGGTCAGGGGATGCAGCTGCTCCATCATCTGAATATAAAAAAAAAAATATGCACGACATCACATTTTCAACTCCTAACATCCCTTTACTATTAAAGATGCTGCACTGAACATGTTAAAGTGAGTATGATCTCTACCTCTTCAAGCACTAGACGATCAAAATCTTCAAGGCTCAGATATCAAAAATTAGTCTAAAAATTTTTCCACTCCCTGCTTTTTGGCATCTGTCCTTTATTGGTTCATCTATCTCCTCAGAGCCAAAAAAAAAAAAAAAAAAAAAAAGCTACCTCCCAGATTTCTGCCTTTTGTCCAGTTCTTATACCTTCTCTTTCTTGGTGCACACTCATTGCTTCAGAAACCTCTTCTATGAACATTCCCTTTTTATTTTTAGCCTTGGCTTTTCCTGCTAACCCTTGTTCAGACCATAAACTGACACCAATTCCAGATATGTTGTGTGGTCAGGGTAACATCTTTTTGTCTGTTTTAATCTCTGAGCAGCTTTGAGTGAGGCATTTAGCACTTCCTGTTTGCCACAGGCCCACTGAGTCCCACTGCCTGGAGCCCACTCACCATTTGAGTTCGCTGGTTGGTTTGGTGACAACTTCAACTAATTCTCTAGACCAGGGGTTGGAAAATCATTCTCTTGAAGTGACAGAGAGTAAACAGTTCAAGCTTATCAGCTGCATGGTCTGTCACAGCTACTCAATTCTGCCACTGAAGAGTAAAAGCCGCCTAAGATGACGTGTAAATAAGTAGGTGCGGCTGTGTTCCCATAAACTTTACAAAAACAGGTAACCATGATAATTTGTCAAGCCCTACTCTACAGAGCTATCTGGAGCCCCTACTCTGTCCCAACCGTGAGATAGTAACCCTGACTCAGTTCCTACAGAGCTACTCATCAGGGTGACCAGAGAGCAGTCAGTCCAATTCCCTGGTCTCTGGTTTCCTGATCTTCTATAATTATGGATAGTTTCCAAGGTCCCTACTGTCTAATACAGAATAAATCTGCACTTTCATTAGATTTACCTTATACTCAGCACATTAAAATTAAATTCACAATACCCTCTTAAGATTAGGAAACAAAAAACCGCACACTACACTAGGCTTTCTAATCTTCATCAGAGGTACTCCCTCCTGTCCTCCCGGTAGCTCAAGCTTGAAACATCAGCCATCTTTGACTTTTCACTGGTTTCCCATGAGGTTGTTATCAAAACCACCAGGTTATGACCTACTGGAACCACCTTTCCATCTTTTATGTCTTCCCCCAGAAAACACCTTATCACTTGACACAAAAGCAATTCTCTCACCTCCATGGCCTTCCTTTTTCAAATACACTTATACCTCTCTAGTAGACTTATCATCCTGAATATCAGTCCTTACCATACAGGTCCCTGCCACAGCTCTAAGTCAGTCTTATGTTTCACCCTGGTATTCAAGGCATTCTATCACATGAATTCAGCTGACCTCTCCAGCTTTTGCCCCACATTCATCAATAAATCCTGAGCTCCTTGCAAAGTGAAGCACTTCAACATTCTCCTATATACTCACTGATACATCTGTGCTCCTATTGTCTCTTCCACCAAAATAGAGCTTCTTCATCATGCTACACCTCAAGTCTGCCACACTCCTCAGAAGCTGCCCTCCCCAGCCCTCAGCCACCTGTATCCCCAAGACACTTGTGGAACTACAATTACACATTTCACAGTGCACTGGCATCATAACCTGTACAGAGCCATCTGCATTCATTTTCTCCTTTCACTCTGACCCCAGAGAGTTTGGGGTCATAAACAAGGACTATCTTGTTCCCTATAATACTTTAGCACATCTTTTTCAAGAGTAGATAATCAAAAAATATTTTATAGCTTTTTTTTTTCTATTCAAAGTAATATAAGCTTATTCCAGAAAATTGAAAAAATATAGAAAAGTCTAAAGAAAATAAAGTCAGCTGGTATTCCAGTGTATGGATACACCATCTAATAATGGGCATAAAAGTGTCTCCAGTTTTCAACCTAAAAACAATACCAACAAAGAAGCCATAATAGGCATCTGTAAACACATATCTTCATGCCTTTTCGTGTGATAAATTCCCACAAGATGACTCCCAGGTCAATGGAGAGATACAGAGCTAGATACAGAGATACAGATACAGATGTGTGTGCGTGTGTACACACGTATTTAAAATTTTTTTTTAAGTTTATTCATTTTTGAGAGACACAGTATGAGCAGGGAAGGGGCAGAGAGAGAGGGAGACACAGAATCTGAAGCAGGCTCCAGGCTCTGAGCTGTCAGCACAGAGCCCAATGCGGGGCTCGAATTCACGAACCGCGAGATCATGACCTGAGCCGATGTCAGACACTCAACCGACTGAGCCACCCAAGCACCCCTAATACACATGTATTTTAAAGTGTAACATTTCTTCAATGTTGGTTGTACCAACTTAAATTCCCACAAGCAATGTGTTAAAGCAGTGCTACTTTAGATATGTATGAACCACCTTAGGGCCTTATTAAAATGCAAACTCTGATTTCTTAGGTCTGGGGGTAGCCTGAGAATCTACGTGTCTAACATGCTCCTACGTGCCATCAGTGCTACTGGTCCATGAGCCACACTTTAACAAAGCAGGACACCACTGTTTTACTGTTTTCCCTCCCTTCCCATCAGATCCTTGAATGTGACAGAATGCCTTGAATACCAGGGTGAAACATAAGACTGACTTAGAGCTGTGGCAGGGACCTGTATGGTAAGGTCTGATATTCAGGATGATAAGTCTACTAGAGAAGTATAAGTGTATTTGAAAAAGGAAGGCCATGGAGGTGAGAGAATTGCTTTTGTGTCAAGTGATAAGGTGTCTTCTGGGGGTAGGCATAAAAGATGGAACGATGGATCTTTTGTCTTATAAGATTATGACACTGTCATTTGCACTTCATCAATTTCTGGCCAGGTTACACATCTTTCTCACGCATTTAAAAACCATCTCTATTTCCCTTTTTATGGACTACTTGCTCATGTCTTTTGCCTGTTTTTTATGGGAGTACCTGCATTCCTTACATATCTATAACAGCTTCCTTAAAAAGATACCTGTATGAGCAGCTGTGACCTCCTGAACAGCCGGCTGAGACAAGATCTGCCTAAGCTGGTCCTGGTGTGAAAGCAGCGCACGGCCCGCCTTCAGGATGTACAGTTTTAACTGCTGGCACCTCAGCAGCTCCAGGTCTACTTGTCCTGTGGGAGAAAAGGACTCAGGAACGGCACACCTTGCTTGGGCTCTTCTCCTCACCAGCTGTGTGGCCTTAGGGAAAGTGCTCTGCCTCCTGCACCACAGTGCCATGCCTGTAAAGTGGCACAAACAATGCCCTGCCCTGTAGGAATTAGCTGGACATGCCAAATACTGTCAATAATGAAGGACTTGCCTTTCTGGATAAGTATCCTCTACCTCCCCTGGGTCTTCCCCTTTTCCTGCTGCCCACGCAGCTACCTTGATGGATTAGGGTGAGAATTAAATGGTTTAACAAAGTTAGATCCATGTCAGTTATTATTAGTATAATCAATGTTTCCCATATTGCTAAAATTTCAACCAGATATCTATGTCACAAACAAAATATCTTCACCTTTTCTTGCCAACACTCCTCCAGGATGATTTTGTCTGACAGTCACAACATACAGTTCTCTAACTCAACAAGATCATGGCACTCCCTGGAGTCTTATCTAAACAAATGACTGCAGTGGTGCCTGACAGCCAACTGAGGACATTCAAGCTTTCATGTCCACTATAACTCAACAAATAGTCAATCCACTGAAACCCAAAGACTTTGACAGTCACAGGAACTTGCTCTCACAAAATGACATTGTCCAAACAATACCAGTTAAGATTGTAGTTGTTTCACCAAGAAGTACCATGTACTGACCTGCAAAACCCGGTTTAGGTGACTTCTTTACTTTGTGTTTTTCCAGTTTGCTTCCAGCAAGGTTTACCAATTGAGCCCAGACAGATAGCATAGGCTCTGTGAAGGGGAGGTTGGTGACACTGAATGCCACAGCAGGGAGCTAAAGCAAGAAGATAGAAACCTTCAAAGTCCATCCAATGAAATGAGCAAATGAAACGTTCTAAAAATTATCAAACCATGAATCTTAATTCTAAAATATACATATCATAAGTCTTTTTATATCTGAAAATAATTTTAAAATATTCCATTAAAGATAAAATAGAGATTTATATGTATAGTAAACATAACCTAAATTAATTTTTTAACAACTTATCAATAATAATTATGTCAGGCTGGTGATGATTATCTCTTTAGGCATTTTCTATGCATTCCAAATTTTCTACAACATGCATGTATTCATTTATAAATCAAAAACAGTATTTTATAGAAATATAGTCAGGTTATACTTAGATTACATCAAAATAATATAAATGACTCTCTTTCCCTATACATCCTTAATTCACAGATTTAAGATGACAGCAGCTGCTACATAAGTCATGTCACTCAACACAATAAATAAGCATTTACGAAGAAAGGTCATTTTTTTAAGGAATCACTTTTAGGTTTCTTTAAAAGTTGAGTTGTTCAATAAAAGTCAGATTTCATAAATTTACATTTTAAGATAATTAAAACTAACAAACATAATTACCAGTACCTTCTATGTTGCTAACACCCTTTTATGTCTTTGGGGGCTAAAATAAGACATGAACTAGTAATTTGTGTAACACCATGAGACCAGGCCCTATTTATCACAGACACAAAGCAAACAAGGGAAGATAGACATATGGCTTTCCTCAGGTTGCATAGTTTCCTAGATAGCGTGCATGAACTACAAGAATCAAGTTCATTCTAGCACTAATGTTAGCACTCAGTTCCAGCATAAAACTCCTCTGCCTTATTACCAAGTAACTGAATACAAGTTCACCTACTGGTTTGAGCTGATTCAATGGGCAAACGCGACACATCCGCATGTCTGAGAACTGTACAGTGATCCTGCCCTTTGGGGTGATGCGAGTCACCGTGCCTTCTCCAAACTCATCATGCATGACTTGTCCCCCCAGGCGCAGGCGACCATCGATGCCTCCGATCACAGCTAGGACTGCCATGAGGCCCCCCACCTCTGGGTTTTCGGAGTCAGGAAAGTAATCCTCTAACAGGGCCTAATGCAGACAGACAGCTAGTTTGAAGAAGACAGCCAAGGGTGCTGCCTGTTTCTTACACATTTATAACTAAGCCAAGTTCATTTTTATACTAGTTTCTTCAATAGTTATTTCCACTACAATATGGTTTAAAATATCTTTAAACAAAATACATGTCATTTCAAAAGATAATTTAAGAGTGAAATCAACATTCTACAAAGAAAAACTAACTAGATATGAAAACTAGATATGAAAACGCGGCACCCACCCCCTCTGGTGGCTTTCCTGTGCAGCTGCGGGTGACAGAGTGGAGCTGAGAGTTGATGTACTTGTTTATGAGGCCGTTCCACTGACCCAGGGAGTGGAGTGTGCGGAGCAGTGCCACCACCTCTTCTGCCAAGGTGCTGCTATGAGTGGCAGTCAGAGAGGCCTGTGGGCGTGCCCTCCGCCGCCTCAGAGTAGATTCTGAAAGAGACATGTGAGAGAGGAGCTACATGGTGCCCTGCTCACTGAACCAGGACACAAGTAAGGAGAGAGGCCCACCTCTGAGGAACGGGATATCTGAAGAACAGGTGGTGAGCAAGCTGCCCAAGAAACCAAACAGCTTTTCCACAAGGCATTTCATGTCCCTTGCCCTTTCGATCTTGTCCCATGATGGAAGCACTGCTTGCAGTAAATGCACAGCTAAGATCTGACAAAAGGCAATTTAAAACGGCAAACATTAAAGAAAACCATAATCTGTGGTTTACGTTAAGAGATAACAGATTTTTATTTTCTTTTTTTTTTGTCCCTCTAATGCAATTAATCATGTGAAAATTCAGATATCCATTATTTTACAACCAGATAATTACACCCAAGTTGATTAATGATATAGATTATCAGGAGTTGGAAAAAGCTACACTACAGATGCAGATATTCACTTAATTAAAAAATAATTCTTTTCAGCTTAATTCTTCTGAAGACAATTATACTACAACTCCTATGAAGCAGATAAGAGAAGCTGGTAGGATTTATCACTTCAAAGAAAAGCAAGTCAACTACAGTTTAGCAACTTAAAATCAATTTAAAATAATCAAGGACTTCAGCCCCTTGCACTAGAAAATCTACTTTGGGTTAGTTCCAGTTCTTTTCTGCACTCATTGAGTACAGGCACCTAATTATAATGACTGGGAGAATTGGTATCTTGATGCCACCTCTTAAGGGGATTGCACAGTTTCAAAATTCACACTGAACAGCATCAGCCCAGCAGCACAATTACCTGTCGCTGCAGTGAGGCAGCAGTGAAAGGTGCATGTCCCTCCACAACCTTCATGAGCAGGGCAATCCACTGTGGGGAGCTGAGGGCAGCACACATGTGTGGCGTGAGTGCAATGCTCCGCACAAAGCCCAACGTGCACCAGCTCCGGTGCTGCTCCCGGCAGACCAGCCTGTTTGGGGAAGCTGCCACAGTGAAACAAACCAGCTTGGCACCAAATTTCTAGAAATAAATAGTCAGCACAATCTACACTTTTAATGTACTTACTGTGTTATGTTTGATAATAGCCTACTTTACAAATATACTACAATTTCACTAATTCAAAATGAGAGGAGTGAGAGAAAACCCTACTAAAGGAACATTTTACAACACTTTTAAAACCTTCAAAGTACATGAGTAGCTCAAACCAATTAAGGAGTTTCATGTACTTATTATTTATAGGCAGTAAGAAAATGATTCACAATTCAAACAGCAGTTATTAGAATGCATCTTGTATATTTTAAAACCTCACGTGTTATATATCATCAGGGCACTTGGGTGGCTCAGTGGATGAAGTGTTTGACTCCTGATTTCAGCTCAGGTCATGATTTCACAATTCATGAGTTTGAGCCCACAAAGGGCTCTTTGCTGACAGCACGGAGCCTGCTTGGGATTCTCTCTCTGCCCCTCCCTGGCTCACACGCACACATGTGCGCACACATGTGCTCTCTCTCTCTCAAAAATAAATACACTTTAAAAATAATAATAATAAATATCTCCCATGATCTTGTTTATACTTAAT